CCTCCATGCAGATCTCGAAGGTTTTGGGATTTTTACACCTATCCCCTTTCTACACAACTTGGAAGTAAAACTTTTTTTTCCACTTACTACGCTGCTTAAAACGCTGCAACGTAGCAAAAAAAGTTACTTTATTCAAAATTAAAGTTACGGTGATTGCTTGTGAAATTGTTCCTTTCCATTTGTACTCGTATCCCGGACTGCTTACACAGTATAGAGAAAGCCCGCTGCGGGGGAAAACTGCGGTCATTCGACAGAAAAACTCGTATTAACCAGCAATAGAAATAAGTATATTCTGGTGCGATATTATTTATTTCTCTGTGTACAGTAAATATCTAAGAACGTACATTTACTTTCAACCTAAAAATGAGGGTCATCTAACTTCGAGACTACTTTTAAGAGGGTTTGAACTCCCGTGGAATTTTTAGCATGTATTTAACTTCCGCCCGTTCGCCCTGCCCTGCTCGACCCCGGCACGTGACACACGGCAACATCCAGCAACAATGAAGCCTAGGTTGTTGGGGAAGTGTATTTAACTGAAGCACCGTCTTGTGATGCAGCGCCATCTAGTGGAGAGTTACGACAAAGTGAAATGCATAAAAACCTTCTCGGTGAAAAAACACTTAAGAAATGCCAAGGTTCTTGCAGATTGGTCAAACTGTGTCAGAGTTTATCGATCTCGAACAAACCAACATCCACACACACATACATACATACAGTTGAACCTCGCTAATCCGAAATTTCGGATAATCCGAACAAAATTCGGGATGGAGGAAAATTTTTTAAAAATGCTTATTTGTCGTGTAAATAATGGTGTTAATAATTACTGTAGAACTGAACAACTAATTATTGAAACGCAAGTTGTCGAAACGTTTATTTCACTGATAACTTGTGCTGATAACATGTGTATATCACACGCTGATGTAGTAGTAATTACCACTTAGAGGAATTTGCAAAATCGGTAATCTTTTGCCATAAGGAATTGAATCTGCTTGATGGTGAGGTCGCCACGCTACTTAGCATTGTCTGATAATCATACAGATGTATTTATGTACGGTTCATTTTTTTCGGATAATCCGAACATACCACACCCCCATATTGGTTATTCTTCGAATAATTGATCAACAGGTTTAGAAATTGAAATGTACGTACAGTTTCAATTTTGTTTTTCGCATGCCCTGACCACAAAATCAAGATGGGCACTTTTTATTTTATTTTCTAACAGAAAAATGCCGGTTATAATTATGTCAATGACACGATCCCTGTTGACCAGTGATGTAATAAAGTATGAAGTAAAAGAGAATAACCAATGACTTGGCGCGTGCCTTTTCTGATTTTGCAATACCTACAGGAGAAAAAAAAATATTGTCCTGAATTTTTGTTTTAAAAAAGCGTATGAATATTTTTATGGTGGCATAAAACGGAACATTGTGGCATTTCCGTGACCAAAAAACGGGGCACTCGCACTCTGTCTATATTCCTCAATTAAGATTCCTTGCGAAGTTGCACAGAAACTCACGGAAGCCGAAGGTTCGGATTACTGAATTTCTCTGTAACAATATCGATAGCGATAAAGCACATATAAGCTCAAGTGACGCGATAGCTCATTGTCCGTTCCTAGATCCACCACGGAATCTCTCCCTTCTTGATTTCATTTTTGAAATATTCTTGTTACGTGATACATGAGCGTATGATATATTCGCGCTTACTTTTTTATAAACTAATTGAAACATTACGGAATACATTACAATAAATTTAAAATAGTTCATAGCACTTTATGCCTTTTAGTCATTGTCACAAAAAAAAGGTGTTCTGGCGTCCCGTTTTTCTTTAAACAAAAAGGGATTGCCCCTGCTATTGCGGGACATCCGGTATCCTTACTGTAAATACTAAGCCATGTTATTGTAGTATTTGTAAAGATTTTGATTTAATATTTAATTTATTGCAATATTACACGAAAGTATTTTATTTGTTTAAAAGGAGCGAGCTTGTTACTTGTGCGTGCAATTTCATTTCTTTCAAAATAATGGTAATCGCTACTTGGTCTCACTTACAGTTAATGGTTCCTAGTATATTGCAAAAGATAAATTACTGCAACAAAATTTAGAAAACGACTGTTATCAGTGAATATCGTCAGATGTTAATTGTGTAACTCTTGTGTGAGATTGCAAGCGACATTAATTTAATTTTACAGAATATAGAGAAAATTTGAAATGTGCGGAATTTTTTGAGATTTTGATGAAAATGTACCTTTTTGGGAGTCCTTGACACTGAAACTACTTTGCTTGTTTCCTTATTTTTTAATGGGTCCTTCAATTTTGGTGGTGGTGGGGGTTCTAGGACGTTTTCAAATTGTTCTAAAAACTAGCACCGTATTTTCTTTATATTTTTGCTTGGATAGATACAAAGTGTACTGAAGCGAGTGTAGGTCTGATTTTCATTAACTGATTTCTGTTCATTGCCCCCCGAAATGCAGCAGCCATTTTTTTCAATTTATTGTGAATTCTATATCAGCAGACGTAACATAACGAAAGGCTTTTTGGAATTTCTGAAAGCTGAATGTTGGTTTCGTCGAGGTGCTTTACAGCTGCTTCGGAGTAAATATCATTTGGCAATAAACGTCGCAAACAAATGATACCAGTCCAACAAAGGACTACGTGCACGGGCACAACATGCCATCCATATGCGTCGAAATTAACTAGGACAATCTCTGAAATTTCAAAAATTTCAGTTCAATGTTTTCATTTATATCTTTAAAAGCATTTCTTTTACCACTGATCATAAAAATATATGTTGAATTATGAAGTTCTAATGTGAGAAATATTTGGTCAGGTTCGTCTGATCCTCATATTACGTGACCGGTACCAGTAATACGACGAGTTTTAATTTGCGATTTTCGAGAAAGAAGTGCTCTAATATGTTGTGAATTGAACTGTTTCTTTCGTCGCCGCTTAAGTACCCTTCCGAATTATGTCGTACACGTGCAAAGGCGTATTTACGATATGGCAGACAAGGCACATACCATGGGCGCCACTCATTAGTAGTGCTATTTAGAGAATGCCCGCCGAAACAAATAACAACCCTAATTTGAAGTATCCTGAGGGGGGCGCAAATTCTAGGCTTGCCATGGGTGCCTGAATACCTCGACACGCCTCTGTTTTTATGAATACCACCTATCAGATGAAATTGAATTCCATTTACGGTAAATTATCATCAAATGACATTGTCGTCTACTCTTGATCTCTTCGTGGTATGGTACCATTTCGACGCAAATGTTTCAAAAGCGTAAAATACTAGTTTGCACCTTTACAAATTGAAATATTTAGGACGGTTTATTTTCGGTCTACCCTCTCATCAGCAAGTAATATGAAGTTCCTGTTGCTGCTGTGCTTCTTCATGGATTCGTTGATAATTGTGAAAAGAAAAACGTGTCTGAGACACTTGTACATTTTTATCACTACTTCTTTATCAATTACTGGAATAATATGCAAGATGAAAACAGATGAAGAAGTGTAAAATAAAATCGTAAAATAAATAGTATTATTCAGCCTTACATGATTTCGTCCCGCCGCCTCCGCCGCCGCCGACTCGTCATCCTCAACAGTCGCGAAGAGTCCGCCACCGAGTTTCGGAGACGGAGGGGTCCCCGTTGTGTCAGTGGTTATTTCTAATGGAGCATTCAGACGATTCTTCAGACGAATGTGCAACACAAGGTTGTAGTTGACGTTGTTGGTTATAATTACTTTCTTGTATGATTTATCACGATTCTTACTTCTATAAAATACGTTTTTCCACACCAGACAATTTTAATTTTTCTCGTCTTTTTTTTCTGGAAAACAAATAAACACACGTTATTTTTCTTTTATTTGTTATTTGTATTTTGCCACATTTCACTGATGTTTTGGAATCTTTTATTTTTGATATATCATATCAAATAGAAAAGTAGGTGTCAAATGTCTTTGTGTCAAAAAGGAAGTGATAGAAAATTCTATTTCTCTACATGAAACAGTTAAATCATCTGTTTACTGGGTCGTGTTTCAGGAAAGTGATTTTGCTGCTTATAACATATTTTTCTATGGAAAAGAAAATTCATGATCTTGTATTTGCCTTCACTGTCACGAAGAGGTCACATCTTTGGCAAAAATGCCAACCTTTTGGCCCGCATCTTTGGATGCCTTTCAGGACCAAGTGATGTACTCAACTCCAAGACACATTTATATTCATCTTCTGAAATGAGTAGAAAGGCACTGGAATTAATGTGGTTCATGTTACAAACTTAATTTTTCACTTTTTTCTATATATTTATTGTGCCATATCTTTTCTCCAGGCACAAATATAAGGAACAGAAATACAAATTTTCTGTGCCCAATTTCAAAACAAGATAACGTTTTTTAGTTTCAGTCTTATGTAATATATAATTTTTCCTGAGCAAATGTGTTCTCAATGTTTTTTTACCATCTGTACCTCAGTACTTGTAATCATTCTTTCATTTGGAATTAATAATTTAATTTTGAATGTTTTAAAATCTATAGAGAGCCAAATTCAGTTTACCTGAAGGTTAGAATGATAAATTTGTCCTTGAGAAGCCCATATTCAATTGAAAAGTGATCTCTTCTATAAACGGTAGGTGGTACCTGAGCAGAAATGGAGAAAGGAGGTTCTATAAAGCAAGGGGTAAAATCAGTTCAATAAAATTCAAACTTTCAAATTATATAGCTGTAGAAATTAAATTTATGTGATTTGGAAGAAAATATTTATAAGAAAGTGTTTAACTTAACTTCCTGAAGAGAATTTTTAAGAAAGTCTGTAGCCACTATTTTTTCCATATATTTAGATTAGCGTAAAAAAATTAAATCCTTAATTTAAATTTCTCACATTTTTTTCAGACTGGAAGGAACATATCAACTTCTGAGCACCACTACTGGAAAATATACTAATTCTGTATTTTATGTGCAATATTTCTGTGATTAGAATTCTGTTGAATATTGCTGTCTGTTGTGCAGGAGCAAGAGCAGCTGTTCACCCACGTGTGCCTAGTCCTCAAAGTTCAATGAGCCATTTGCATGGACCAGGAATACAGTGGCACATCCCACAGAGTGGGGGTGGATTAATTAATGGGAGCATATTGGGACCGCAGAGTGGAGTTCAGCCTGCAGCAAGACCACCTCCACCTGCGCTTCCAATAGACGAGTCATTTAAAATTACTCTTAAGACACAAATGGCCCCACAGAGCCAGAGGTTGAGTACTTTGGGACCAACACAGAATCTTGCTCCACTCACAGATGGAAACAAGATGGTGACATCATCTGTTTCAAAAACCCCAAGTCCAAATCAAGGAAGGGTGGAAGATGCTGAGAAGAGTCTGGATAATTTCTGTCAGGTAATAATTAACCCTCTTGTATGAGTGTGTCTGCTATATGGAATGCCTATTATTAGTTCCATTGGTATGCATATTGTACCTACAGACTGAGTCTGCCTTCCACCCACAGTCTCCATCTCCACCTCTCTTAATGACTACTCCCGCACTCTACACACCCTCTGCATCCACACCACACCCACTGATTGCATTCACATCCCACTCAGTGACTGCGTCTGCCCCACACCCACCGACAGTATCAGCACTCCACCTACTGACTGCATTCTTACCCCACCCACTGACTGCGTCCATACCCCACCCACAGATCGCTCACAGAATGTGTACACAGTTCATTACTTGCTCATGAACACACTTCAATCACTACATACAAATACACACCCTGTACATCTCTCTGTGTCTCTCACTCTTTCACTCTCTCATTTTCTCTCTCTCACACACACTCACACACACACATACACACACACACAAAATGAACTGTAGGGGAAATATTTATTAAGTTATCATTTTCCAACATTTTTAGGGGGGGGGAAACCAAACAAGATTTTAATTTCCATATCTAATTGTCGGGTCTATAGCTTTAAGCAAAATTCAGATTATAGTAATTTTGAACATAACAACTAATCATCTATATAAATTAAAGAGGTTTGCATGCCACTTCTTTTAATTGGGAAATGCCAGTTTAGAATGAATGCATGTTTTTTCTGCAGACTATTCATAAGTGGTGTAATGCAAGTAACACTTTATTTGACCATTCTGTTGTTAAATATACAATGATTTCTATCATGTTACCTACTTTGAGTTAGTAAAAGTTTCTCAAAATGTATAGAAATAAAACATTTATTAATGAATACACATTTCACTGTTTTCTCCCCTTACTTCATATGTAACATACACAACTTTAGCTCCAGGCCCAATTTATTGACAACTTGATTGGAAATTGGATTATAATAGTGAATAATTATAATTAAATGTAATAAAAACAGTCTCTCCAATATTTGAAGGTTATCATTGATCTGAACATTTTTTGATGAATTTTTACCTCAAGTTCTCATACATTTCATTAAATAATGGAACAGATGTAGTATTGTGACTGATTTTAACTGTTTATGCTCAAACATTAAGATTTAAATAGAGGAAGAATCTTTAGTTTTAAGAGTTAAAATTACATAAAGTTATACAAAAACGTATATGCAAGGAAATGTATAAATGAACAACTTTTGGTAGAGCAAATGCTGCAGCATTAAAGTTATATTTAAATCTGTTCTCTGAATGAAATGTCGATTATGTATTTAATTTTAGCCACTGTGATTTCATTTATTGATGAATTGATCATGAAATAATATTGTTTGTTGAATTGCAGATACTCTTAATATTCTCAAACTTTCTTTGTCACTAGGAATCAGTTAATGACCTTATGGCTACCATAGCAAAACTAGATCGCAATGGAATAGAAGTTGTTCCTGAAGAACAGAAAGCAACTTCTGGTGATGTGCCATTGGCAGACAGTTCTACTGGACTAGATGAAGTTGCTGGTCCATCTCAAACCACCACTCCCATAATTCAAGGTGAATTTAATATGATTGAAATATGTGGATGTTTGTGTAAATGAGTGTGTATGTGAGGTGTGTGTATGTGCATGTGCAAAGACAGTAATGTAAATATGTATGTATCAGATTTTACGCACTTTTTGATAGTGCAATTTCAATCTCGTTACCAATGCGGCTGTTACTAGAACTCTATTTCTCAAGAATCCTTACATTGAAGTTGGAGAATTCTTCAAAAAAGTATCAAATAAAGATCTCACAGACTGTGATGTGATGTGAGTAGTTCTTATCTCAGACTTTTGTGCAACATGTTATTGATCATTTTCAACCCTCAAGTATGTTTTCATTAACGATTACAAGTACAAATGAATTGCCATTGTGAGGTGATACGAGACAAAATATCTTGAAAAGGATAACAAGTGTTAAAAAAAATTCATTTTGGTTAGTGTGCAGTTTTGAAGTTCACTTTGCCAAGAATTAAATAACCTGAGGTTGCAAATTATTTTTGGAAACTTCTTATGTTTTCTTCTTTCCATTCTAAATCATCTGTTTCTTAGTTAAAAATTTGCTTATTTGTATTTGACCCTGCTTTTTAGAGGTGAAATCTTAAACAACTTAAGACATTTTATAGTGTAATTATCTGTTATTCAATTTTTAAGTTCATTGAAAATATATGCTTTTAGATTTAGAAGTAGTATATCTAGCAATTTTGCATTTGATGGGAGGTATGATAAAGTGGTTTATTTTTCTTTTATTACAAAACTCTTAAATTTGTATTTCCCAATTGTCATTAAATAACATACTTTGTAGCATTTATTGTTCTTCTTCGCCTTCCAATTACTGTCCTTTTAAAAAAATTTCATTATTTTTTATGGCACTCACGTTAATATGTGTGTCTAATAAGATTAGACATTGTCTAACAAAATACCAAACTATTTGAAGCACATACCTGAGAAATGACACACCCTGTATTGATATAGGAAATCCTGCATAATTGAAGTTTTTGTTTGTTGTCATTCATCAATTTGTTTTACTTATTCAAAGATAAATAAAATAATTCCGGAATTCCCATTGTTGTCTTAATTAAAATTATCTCATTGTCTTTATTTAAATTGTTTGATGTACAGTTGAAACTTATGTTGTATTTAATGTATTATAGATCAAGAAAAAGGTGTATGTGTTGAGTCAGATACTCAGAAAGATGACCCAAATGAAGACTGGTGTGCTGTTTGTATGGATGGTGGAGAACTAGTGTGTTGTGACAAATGTCCTAAGGTTTTCCATGTGTACTGTCATATACCACATCTGAAAGCAATTCCGGAGTAAGTTGTTTTCATTGAAATATGTTGTAAGAAACCCTGGATTTTACTTTCACGCGCGCACGCACACACACAAATTTTTCCATTTATTTAATAGTTATTATGCTATTTGGGTCAGAGCTGAATTCATAATATCAGAGATTATTAAAATTGGTCCAGCTGTTCTTGAGTTATAAATGGATTTATCAACCTGGCTTTATTTAGATGTGCGATATTAATTTGCGCTGTACAATAGTGGTGGTTCAAATAATTCCACCTAATGTAACTGCAAAGATGCCGGAAAATTTCACTATCACATAGTGCACCCTATTTTATTGATGTTATTTGAGAGCCTTTAAGACCAGCATTGTGTTTTTTATGAAGTTCTTCACACTTAAGTCATGGCCAAAATATTTCAAGTAGTCATGTTTAGATTTTATAATTTTCTTTTCCCAAATTACAAGGAAGTCCAGGAATCTAGAAAATCTTGAAATTAATTCATGTTAGCTAATGAAATGATTACATATTTCACTTCGATTTTTAATATTGAGGGGTTTCTTGATATTATATTATTATTGGTAGTAGTAGAAGTAGTAGTACTATTATTATTATTATTATTATTATTATTATTATTATTATTATTATTATTATTATTATTATGATCATCATCATCATCATCATTATTATTATTATTATCATTATTTGTAGGGAAAGTGAGACATGGCAGTGTCTTCTTTGTACAAATCTCAAAGAAGTCCTGGATGGTCCTTCTAGTCCAGCTGCAGACATTAATTTACTTCACTTAAGTGCAAAGGATCTAAAAGTTGCTCAAAGAATTCTGCTAGAAATATATTGCCAGTATGAACCCAGTCTTCATTTTCGAGAAGCAGTTGGCCCTGAGGTAAGTGTTAAAGTCCATCGACTGGTGGAGTGTAGTTGACTGTCAAATAGTAATGCATGCTGATAACAAATTTACCAATGTTTTTATTATTAAATAAAAACATTGGTAAATTTTGCCTCCCATACAGCAGATCTGATGATAAGCCATCATTTAAATGATAATATAAGTATTAAAGATGTTATCAACTTGTATTACTAGTGTACAAATTGTGAAAATGTCATGTGGAGTTAGTCGTGTGTGTGTGTGTATATATATATATATATACACGACTAATAATAGGACTGATAATGGGAGCTTACCTCATTTGTAAAAGAATATTTGTTTTTGAAGTTCAGTAATAAATTTAATGTTAGTGAATTTAAAAATCCTTTTAAGGTCAGGGAATACCATGATATTATCAAGAATCCTATGTCTCTGGATGTAATTCGGCGGAAACTGGATCCTAATGAAGTTGAGAAATATTCTAGCCTTCAAGAATTTGTGAGTGATATTCGCCTCATATTCAAAAATGCGCGACTATTCAATCCGGTGAGTGCTTCCTTTAGTTTTTACATTTTGTAAGATAGTAATTATTACTTTTTAATGCATGTAGAATATACTGTGTTCTAAGTTATTTATTTTGTACTCAATATCACACTGCACTAAGAAAGTAATCAATCCTTCATAAACAAAACACACAAAGGGAACCAATAATTAAAATTATCTGTAATTTCAGCAGCACCTTTAGACAGTTACATGAACGAAAAATTAATTTGTAACTGTTCGGTTGTTCTGATTTCTCTCTGGACTTACTATGAATGCATATAACCTTTCGGAAAGTTAAATCTAATATCACATTTGAAATTTGTGTAGGAAAGTGAAAGTTTTTCAGTGTTTGGAACATGTTGAGTTTTTAGTATAAATTACATAAAAAGGGTCTCATTCTTAACAAAACTGGAAAAGAAACCTTAGGTATTTTATAGTACATTAATAAGAACAGGAGTTGTGTGACATTTAATACATGAAAGAATTCCTGTTTCTCTGTCAACCTACAGTTCTTAGTACTTCCACCAGTGTATGGAAGTTGTTCTTTAATTACTATAAAAGTTTTCACTTATGGTGTAAGCAGTGCTTTCTTCATTGGCCTATGTCTTCAGCTGTGATCCCATCTGCTCTATCTTTGAATCTCCCTTGATACAAGATCACAGTGTGTTCACAGTGCGTCCACAGGAGAAATGGAATTTAGGGTAAGAAAAAATGGAAATATGTTTAGTTCTCATTACCATTTCTAACCGGTCTAATAAATTGTTCAATGAACTTAATTGACACCACAATAAACATGAGAGCCCATTGTTTGCCGTGCACTATGCTCTCAATTGGTTGGCACCTTTTGTACTAAACAAATATCTGGAGGTGCCAGGAAACAAACTAAGGTTTTCTGCATGTCTCATAGGTCCTGCAGTCACTAATCAAACAAAAGGTATAAAAGCAGTGGTGGCCTCTGGGTTGGGAATTAAGAGGAGCTGCATACGTGTCCGAACTATCACGTACATTTTACCCCTTGAAAATATTTCTTGAGTGAGGAAAACTATTGCATGTAGAGGAGAACCAATTTGAACCAATCAGGATTTTAATCCTAGTCTAAGACAACTTTCATGTTGATAATAGAAGATACAGTTGTACACAGGTGAAAATAAGAGATTTTGTAAAAAATATTTCCAGCAAACAATACAGTAATTTATGAAATCAGATGAATGGTCAGTATGAGTTGATTTATTGCAAGTTTACTACCTTCTGCAACGTTTCCCAAGATTGGTTTTTCTGGGGAGGGCACCGCCCTAGAGCCCTTGAGTATCAGCCGCTGAATAAAAGATAATTGAAGCAAACAAATTCACAGATCTTAGTCTCATGAGGTGTTCCACTAAGTTCAGTTTTTCTAAGACTGCTACTTTTCATTCTCTTTAATCTGTGATGTGCACAAGGAAGTGATCTGGAAGGAAGGAAAACTGTGATTTGCACATTGAAGTTAACCCTAACTTGGACAAACATGACAACTGGCTTTCAATCATTCATATAAATCTAAGATTAGAATGTAAGAAATAAAAGTTATCATTGTTAATTGAAAGAGTTGTTGAGAAGTTAATTAGAATAGAAAAGCATAGTACAAACATTACATTGAAATCAGAGTTGGATTGGACTTCTCTGCCAGTGGGGAGTGGGGGTGCCAGTTCTACGAAGGCTATCAGGTTATTTAGTCTTATCAGTAAAGCATGTAGAGAGATCATTTTACAACCATCAAAATATTGATCATCTATCTTGGAATTCAACTGTGTCATCTACACCCTAAATGTTAGTCAAAATTTTAAACTAGCTTCAAAAAATTGAAAAGTAACCAAACCAAAAAAATTATAGGGTATAGTAATTCCTTACTATATAAAAAATTATAGGGTATAGTTACTGTTACATCACATTCATTGTTCTAACCTGGAAATATGCTACTCTGAATCATTCATAACATTTTGTTAAACATTACTCCAAAGAAATTTCATTTTAATATTATTCCTTTAAGCTTATGGCTGAAAAATTCATCAGTTGTCTTCAACAACAACTCCTTAATCTTGGTCTGTTCGTTCTCAATTCTTATTCACCCTTATAAGTCTAATGCATTTTTTCATAAATATGTTAAAACTCACAATAATATTATATATAAAACAATTCCCAAGTTATTCAGTTTCTTACTTGTGCAAGCAAACAAAATTTTGATGAGTTAATAATAAACAAACAAATAAATAAAAATGAGGTTAACTAGAACCACCAATACCAAAGTTTAATGTAACACAAAGAATGCCTTTAGAACTAGGTTGTATATTGTAGTTTTGTATATTTTTATAAACTTAGTAGTCAACGCATAGAAACCATTTCTGGCAGTATTCATTGAACAGGAAACTTATGTATGCTTGGTTATTTGAAATGTGTATAATACCTTAATGTACTTGCTGTTTATTGAACTAACTCCTAATTTGTATTAAAATGTGGAGGGGCTCATAAATGGTAAAGATTCTGGTCTGATGTAAAAAAAGATATGTTTTTACTTTCTCATATAAGTAGTGTAGAGAAAGATTTACAAAGCTGGAAAAAAGTAAATCATTGCTGTGATTTTGAAGGAAGCACACAATTTGGGAAACCCTGACACCAAAGATGTGTTTTAATTTTTCAAAGATGTTGGACCATCCATCTGCAGATAACATGTAGAGTCTACACCATTTACAGGATTTGAAATGAATCTTTTAATTTATAGGGAATCACAGTTTCTTAGGGACTCCCCTCCATAGGGAGTGGGTAGTGGATCATACATACCAAAAAAATAAATAAACAAAAATAAAAAAGAAGGTTTCTAAAAAATTTTTGTGCCTCTAAAATAATTGTTAATCAGTCAGCTGTACTTGACTATTATATACAAGTATCAAGTGTGTGTGTGTGTGTGTGTGTATACACACACACATACATACATACAAATACAATTATCAAGTATGAAGTACTTTTTGCAACTGAATGTATAAATGGTTTATGCTAAACTCCAAATGTTCCAGGACCAAATTAACAGTTATGGAGATGTGTTTTTTAGTAAATAGTGTGTAAGATTTTTCCTGGAGGGAAGCCTCAACATGATTATGTGCTACTACCTAAATCCTTCCATACCTTCTCCTCTTAGTTAATTTTCATAACAGCAAGAAAGTTTTCCAGGTGTTTGGTTTAATAAGCAACCTTGAATAGACAAGGGGAAGGGCATTGAAGAAATTTTATTGTGGGTTGTGTGAAATGCACCTGTGTGGAAAATGCAGATGGTTCGAGATCTTTTTGTGATGAATTTTTGGAACCCTATCTTTTCCTTTTCCAACAGTATGTTTACTCAAAGTTGAAAAATATCATGAGCAGAAAGCTTTACATCTAATTCCTGTAAATTATCGTGTATCTTCATCTTAAATGCAGAACACAGCCTTCAGTCTTCTTTCTTAATACAAAATGTCAGCTCTAAAGCTTCAACTATCTTAATATCTTACATTTAACAGCAGTGTTTCCAACAATCAACAGAACTCTAGTTACACAGAAATCAAGCTCATCAGTGCAATGAAGCCATTTCATGAGAAGGGATAGGGTATTTTTTTTTATGTATTTAGTAAATATGTTTGAAAAGTCAATTATGTCAAAATGGGCAAAAAGAAAACATAGCAAAAATGTTTATTTTTCATAATTAGTGCACATATACTAAAAGCCATTAAATATGTTATGTGAAAATGAGTACACTCTCCTTGACATCCAATGTCTAGTAATAATTTACTTTTTGTTAACAAATGTTCCCCCTAACAAGCAACCCCTTCAAGAGGCCACTTTTTTCATTGAATCGAACCACAGGGAGCGAAGGCTCAGGTGTCACTGCAGTCCCTCCAGTCTGCAACTGATGTCACTGTAGTCCCTTTGACTGGAAGGTCCGTGGTTCAAGTCCCGAATGTGGCAGGATTTTCAACACTAGCTAATCAGCTAGGTTGAATTCAGTTGCTTTCTGGAGGAGAACTCTCTGATCAGTAGTATTCCATGGTTTCTCCGATTGACACCAGGTGAATGCCAGAGCAGTACCGAAACAAACAGGCCACGGACTGTGCGCAATCTTTCCTATGTCTTTCCTATCCCATCCTATCTTATCCTATCCTCATCCCTTACACACACTTTCACTAACATGCATTACACTACCAAACATGCTGGGAGACCAACTAGGAGCTTAGAGCTTGCCCCCTGTGGAGCGGTGCACTGCTGGTGGGAGATATTTTATTAGGAAAACCCACCAGTTGATGGTAGGATCTCACCCTAGAGCAGGGAAAGACCACTGCCACCTCCCTAGCAAAAACATGTTCTACACTTATGGGGCTAATGACCCTAGTAGAGTGGAATCACTAACAATAGATAAATCAATTTTCAATGAATCAATATGTTGATTATTTAATAGAGGCTTCACTGTACCTTCTTCCCAAGAACTTCCTAAGACATTTCATGTGGTTTGGGTATAGATTGAAAGATTGTAAGTAAACGAGTGAGGAAATATTTAACAGAAAATACAGTTACATTATCTAAATATATTTTGTAGAGCCAATTAATTAAAGAAGACAGATATGAGAATTGACCATGATGTTTCTAATTTGTGTGGTACTTCAAATCTTTCCCAATAACAAGAAGCAATGCAACAGGAAGGCAGGTGTTTAATGTCCATTAATAAATATGTCTCGTAATTAATAATTATTCCACCCATTATTCCATATTCAATATTATGATATTAATCCACAGGTGCACAATGTGTGTACTTTTTACCCCTGTCTATTAGACTTATTTTGTGCCCAGTTATAGCTCTGATAGGCTGGGGCAAGGTTGTTTCTGTTTTCTCAAGCAATCTTTCAGAGATGACACCAAAACCATAAAATAACAGTAAAAACATGATGAAAATTTTAAGAACAAATCACTTCCATGAACATATTCTTTGGCTTGATTTTAGAGATATT